TTACCTGTGGTAAAAAAATTACATTTAAATTATAATTAGAACTTAGTTACAAGAATTTAATACGCAAGAAAAAGAAACTAAAAATTATCCTAAAGCTTCTAGATAAGATGGATAATGTATTTAAGATGGATTTAGCAAATGGATAAAAAATAGAATAATTTAATCTATAATAAGTTTTGGAGCCTCAGGATTCAGGATGATGTTCTATTTTACTTGACAGGAGAAGTCTTGGTGATTTCTTACTATATCCGAGAAAATTAGTATCTAGAAGGTGCATGACATTCTTGATAAAAGTTGTTGACTGAATATTGACGCATCATAGACACATTGACACGTCTTTGTAGTTTATATTAACAATAATTATTCAAAATTAACGAGATTTCTAATAATATTAAATTTAATGTCATATAAGCGCAAAACGAATAAAAACTTATCAAATTTAAACGGATAAATAGGCTTAACTGGGAAAACTAGTTAAAATGACACATTAAAAATTATTTTTAAATTTGAATACTTTGGGTATATCGAAATTTAAATTGAATAAGAGAAAATATATTACAGTTTCCTTTCTAAAACTAATTAAAAATAATCACCAACAATATTTTACAGCACCTAAGAAACACCCGGTAATATGCTGTTATACGTAATTTATTTTGGGAAACTTAATCATAGTTTTCGGGAGAGTTAGGCAACCTAAAGGGTATTTGTGGGTTAATGTTGGTCATGAAACTTCGTAGTTATTGTTACGTTTTTCGTCGGTTCCGTGTGGATAGAAAGTCACAATTTATTTAAACACAATTTATTTAACACTAATTTACAAACAATAACGATTAAAAGAAAACTTAAAGAACTATTTATAACTTATTTACAATTTATCTAATTATTTATCTAACAGAAATTTATTTTGAATTAGCGCGGCGATTGTAACTGTACGCGTCGATCGGTTATTTATCTCTATTTCCTTCAGGTTTCGGGCATCGGCTTATATATGAGAGAAACAGACAGTCCAGACATATCTCGAAAATTCTTAGCGTCGTTCTTCGAACGTCGGTGGTCGTATGAGTCATAGCCGAGTGGCCAAGCCTAAGGCTGAGTTCACACGGTACGGGTCCGCAACATTATGAAGAAAAAAGGCTAATAATTGTAACCTACATCATATTTTTTTGGAGCAATTTGGAGCATTTTGTATTAGCTTACATAAAATGTGATTTTAGATTAAGCAGTTCTTAATTACATCAAGGTCTTTATTGTATTTTTTTTATGGTACCAGGGCAATTAAAACTAGAATTACCATGAGGAAAAACAGCTGAACACATTGTACTTTCTCAGAGTACCATCAGTTTTTAGCTAATTTATCACCAACGTTAAAGGTACTAATTTTATTTAATCAAAATTAATAATCTTATAAGCTCGAACATTTCTTATCAGGGATTAATAATGGGCCCGTTTTTCTTCAAAAATCTTCACGATTCTGAAAATATGGACTATTAGGAACTATACGAGTGAAATTATAATTAAAAAATAATACTTCTGATATTTTGATTTTCTGCCGCTATCGGGAACTTCTGCATAACCATAGATAAAAGAAAATAATATTCTATTAAGATACATAACTGAGCGCCGCGCCGCGCCGTTGCTGGCACCCGTTGTGTGCCTCCTATTGCGCAATAGATCACCGATCGAATAGACTAATTCGATGACTGTATTATATACATTGCGTCAACTCCAATTCATGTCAATGTCAAAAAATAATACTTCTGATATTTTGATTTTCTGCCGCTCTCGGGAACTTCTGCATAACCATAGATAAAAGAAAATAATATTCTATTAAGATGCATAACTGAGCGCCGCGCCGTTGCTGGCACGTTGTGTGCCTCCTATTGCGCAATAGATCACCGATCGAATAGACTAATTCGATGACTGTATTATATACATTGCGTCAACTCCAATTCATGTCAATGTCAGGTCTCCACACATACATTATTTATACTTTTGTACAAATATGCTGCCGAGGTTTCCGGAATAGAGTTCGGACCACCCTGTATATTTATTCTAAATGTGTTAGGAAGTAAAATTTGTGAAAATTCTATAAATAAAAAAGTAAATATTTTGATATCTTCAGAAGGGTTTAACTACTTGTATTATAATTTATTATTACAGTTAAAAAAACTTTAGATGAGTTCAACTACGGTAGCGAGCATAGTTTTACAGCATAGCATAGTTATTTCGGCTATGATGAATTTTTTTACAAGTACATAATTGTAATTTTAGACGATGTTCATAAAACATTTAATCACTTAATCATTTTTCAAAAAAAATCATGTGCGCCACTGACTTTTTTTCTTTTGATAGCAATATCGTGTAAGCCGTTTAATGCCAATTAAAAGTTATGTCTTGATATTTTCTCAAACTCGGCCTCCTCGATAAAATAAACGCAATTAATAAAAAAAAATAAAATTAATCACAATTAATAAAATTAAAATAAAAGAAAAATTAATAAATTATATATTTTACTTAATTTATCATAATAAATATTATTACTATTAGTCCCACCTACAACATTTCAAATAAAAAAATAATGGTATTTCAGATAATAATTACACAAAACTTAATTTTAAAAAGTTTTAACATCCTGTAACTCTAAAAGTATGCATTTCCATACCCATGTTTATAGGAACTTTTTTTCATATTTTTAGAGAGGAATCAATGAGTACTTATTTAAAACTTTTGCAAGTTGATTAATTAATTTATTTTAAATATTGCTATTAGACTTGGATCAAAGCAAATTAATAAAATTGCGTTTATCGCATCAAGGTGGCCGAAATCGAAAAAATATCAAGAGACAACTTTTAATCAGCATTAAACTGCTTATACTATTTCGCTAACAAGAGAAAAAAAGTCAGTGGCGTACATGCTTTTTTTTAGAAAAATATTCCATTGATAACCCATATGCACGTCCCTGGTGAAGATGTCGACACTTTTTTAACTTTAAAATATGTCGCATTTATAGTAAATTTTACCCCCAAAATTTTATTCGAAACGCTAAAAGAAATTTATAAAAAATCGAAAAAATATTAAGACTTTAACATCCTGTAGCTACGAAACAAAGCATAATGGGACCTATGTTGATATGAAAAATAAATCTTATTTTTATGTGAGAATCTCCCTACGAGAGATGGCACATGTTTTTTGAAACACCCTGTATGTCTATTTAATTTTTTGATTATGTAGTGGGTACTTTGTTTATTCACTTGTTTCGTCGAACTGCTTGAATTCATTTTTGCTTTTGATCAAATCGTTTTGAGAAACTGTGAAGATATAAAATGTTGATTCGGGAGAGTTAAATATTCAGGAAAGTTGAGTTATTGAATGTAATTGCACCCAACAACCACGTAATTATTACGCCCTCCTTTACCCGTTAACATTCCAAAAAAATAAATTCAATGATCAGAAAATATAGATTGCCATGTATATTTGATTTTATAAAAATCTCCACTTCCTATTCTTAAATCTTTTAAACCAGAATCCTGCTGTAAGTAATATCCTATTGTAAAAGGCTTTTCGATCATACATATACGACGGGTATTTTCTTGCATCTTCGATCATATCACGACAAAGAAAAGTTTGTATTACATTTGGTCTTCATTTTATCCAGAGAGGAAGCTATAGTTCGTGGATTTAAAACTTAGAGTTCATCCTGGTTGATCTCATTTTTATACGTCACTTAGGAAACATTTTCTCGATCGGTGTTCTCAATGGCGTCAACATTTTTAAAAGTCTATACGATGTTAAAACTAGTAGTTGTAGAATCAAGGGAATGTTATAAATCTTTAAATTATAAAAAATGCTATACAGAAAAGTTAGAGATAAAAATATGACATCAACCTGGAATGTTTTAAAGTACTGAGATGTAATAGACACATTTGAAAATAGAATAAAGAAATTTTACAGTACTACAATATATGAAACAATTAATACTTTTTTGCTGTATAATTACCCCTTCTTTTGCAAAGAAATATTATTTATAATGTCCCACACAGACTGGTTCGTCTCTTTGCTATATTTTGTCGAAAAAGTATAAATTATTAAAACTAAAACAGTAAGTTATATAAAAGAAAATATTAAAAAATCAAAATTTAAGCATTTCAAACTGAAAAAACCCAATTCCATTTTTTTTTGGAAATTTTTAAAGTAGAATAACTTGGTTATTTTGAACTTATTTGAAAAACGGTAAAGAGTAAATATGTTTTTTTTATCGAAATACATAAAAAAAGAGTTTTTATAGGAGTGTAAATTATTTCTGGCGGCGGATAATAATAAAATTTAAATCTATTAGATCCTCTTCCTAATTTGTGTGTATATGATTTACAGTTTCTTTATAGTCATAATAAATATCTCCTGACATATATAGTATATAGTATTGTATTTAAAGTCGTTTTTCTTTGTTTGAATGTAGTTCAAAATGAAACTGAGGTTTTTTTATTTAGGAAATATATTTAAGATGCTAGGCTTTTAAATAAGCTTAGTCCTGAGAGACAATATCTTTGTCGAAACATTGACCAATCACTAAATAAAAACCTAACTTTTATTTTGACCCATATCTACACAAATCAAAACAAATTGAGCTATTATGAGGCCACTAAAACAACGAAACAGTTTGTATATTTTGCGAAAAGCATTTTTGCGTACAATTTTAATTCACTTGACCTATTTGATATTTACTGAAAATTAGTAAACTATGTGAATAAAATATATGTAGAACAGCGCGAGTTTTTTTTAATTGTATTTGAAAAGTTTAGTATTGGGTTTATAGTTAAAATATAGTCAGAATTTAAATATATATTAGAGTATGAGTTTACACATCTTTCCTCTGGTTTACACCTTTTAAACTTAATTAGTACAATAAGACCGAAAAAAACGGTGCCAGCAATTTTTTATATAAAATTATTTGCCACAACTGGATGCCGTTTATTTTCGATCATACGTGTCATTGTACTTACCACTCATGAAGTTGTAAATGATGGGATTTACTGCACTGTTAGCGTAGCACAGCCAATGGGATACTAACGAAAATGCTCTATTTGGTTCACTGTTCTTCAATTTCTTTGTGATCCTGCAACAAAATCTTAATTAACATTATATAATATGTAAATGTCCGTTTCGAGTTGGTTAGCGTGGTTATTTGGGGGTTGTTAATTCATTGGTAAATCCTAGGTTTAGCACGCTTATCCTAGGTTTTACCGCGCTTATCTTAGGTTTTACCGCATTTCGGACATTTACAGTAACATATACAAGGTGTCCCAGAAATAAGTGCAAGTATTTTAACTGGTAGTATAGTTGAACCCCAGAAACACAAAAAAATAGTTTCCCTATAATATGACAACATAGGTAGTAGATTAAATTTACAAGAAAGAAAATCCAGAAAAGATCCAGTGGTTCTCAAAATTTTAGCAAAAAATCATTTTTTTTGGAAATTTTGACAGTAAAATAACTCTGTAATTTTGGACTTATTTGAAAAACGATAAAGAGAAAATATGTTTCTTTTATCGAGATCTACCACTCCTTAAAATACTTGCACTTATTTCTGGGACACCCTGTATAGGGTAATATACAATATTAACATATTTATTTATAAAAACACAAACTTCTTGTAACAAACATTTTTTTACGTCACTATGTAATATATTCAAGAAGGATGGATAAATGTTTGTTTGGCTTACGTTTTATTTTTTTATACATCATATAACCTAGTTTTTTGTACTTATTTGCCAAAATTCAAATTAATGTCACTAACTAAAAAATTGTAAACAATTTTTTTCAATACCTATTCTTAAGACTCAATACGCCTCTGGAGAGAATATTTACGACATTAAAAATTCATTTGAGTCCAACCCTCACTATTCAATCCAAATGGCATCGTCAAGGTCAAATTTTTCACTTCGTGCGAGAACGACGATTTGTAGTGCTGTTTGTTTATGCTGTGCCTTAATCATATAATGGTTTATTGAATAGTCAGGTATTCAATCCAAATGGCATCGTCAAAGTCAAATTTTTCACTTCGTGCGAGAACGACGATTTGTAGTGCTGTTTGTTTATGCTGTGCCTTAATCATATAATGGTTTATTGACTTAGCGATGAACGTCTATGTCAACTCTTATTCACAATATTTACCCTCGAAACAACAGCTTGACGAAGATTTTTAGATGTCCAACCGTGCAAATATCAATATGATAACGTGGTTTAACTTCAATGATCTATCGAGAACCGGTTTTTCGATGTAGCTGGGCCGTTGGTCGTCAAGTATTATAAATCGATACGAAGTTAATATGTATATAGGGTGGTGACAATTTCGATGCTCAACATTGCCATCTCAGAAACTACGAGAGATACGAATTCGGTTAAATGGGACAAAAGTTGCGTAATTAGAAGTTTGACAAACACCTATGAAGAAAACCCCGGGTATCCTGATTACTTTCAGATTTATGTAAAAAATATGAAAATAATACATTTATTTTAAATGGGAATATCTTCAGAACTATTGTATCTATTGCAAACGTAAGTTGGTAGTTTTATATTTTTGACCTCAGCCAATTAAATGCCGTTTTCAGAAAATTTCTAAGCCTTCTAGATTTCGCACAACAGTGAAGTTTTTGTTTTCTTATGGCCGCCATTTTTTATCCTATTATCCTATTAGATGGAGCAAGAAATGATCTATACGGTGGTATCTAATTTATATTCATTATTATGTAAATTCACTAAAAAAATAGATTTTTTAAAAGTTCCTGAAAAGATCAAGTCTGCCTTGGAAATCCAATTGACAATTTATAATAGCAAGTTAATATTTGTTTACTCTATTAAGTGTCAAATCTGGACACTAAAATTTATAGTATAGATAGTGTAAAGTGTATTATTAGCAGTAAACAACATGTTCACAAGTGAGACACATGTTACACGAGATATGTGTATGTATGAATACACATTACATACAAAGTATGTAAAATAATAGAAATTCCTATATGGCATGCGCAAGTTATAGAACATTGTATCCTGAAAGGACACAGGCTCATCCTACTATTTTTGCAAGGATTTCAAGAAATTTAGCAGTTGCTGGTAGCTTTAAAAACAAGAGGGCAATATTCTAAAAGGCTTAATGATATTAATATGTCAGCTCAGACTGAAATTAATCTGGAAACTCCAAGCCGTAAAATAAGTCGCGAGTGTTGTATAAGTGATTCTTATGTAGGGAAAATTATCAAAAAACATAAATATCACAACTTGTATGTATAAGCATGTAATATCACAACTTGTATGTAATGTGCATCAAATTTACATTTTTTTACATGTTGGTTTTCACGAGAGAAAATTACAATTTTGCAAATGGTTTCGGTAAAGTGTTCAAGAGAGCCCCTTTTTTTCTAGAAAAATGTTATGGACGGATGAATCTTTATTTACAAATTCTGATACAATTAACAAAAAAAAATCACATTATTATGCAAAAGATAATTCCCATTTGATTAGAGAAAACAGACCACAAATAATAAGATATTCTTTGAACGTGTTCTTGACATTAAAATTTTAGGTTCTGTATTGACCTGTATTGAACTCTACTATACAATTTTTGTGCGTCCAGATTTGACACTTAATAGAATAGACAAAATAACTTGCTGTCATATAAAGTGTCAATTGGATTTCCAAGGCAGTTCCAAGGCAATAAAAATTCAAAATGGCGGCCATAAGAAAAGAAAAACTTGACTGTTGTTGTGCGAAATCTAGGAGGCTTAGAAATTTTCTGAAAACGGCATTTAATTGGCCGAGGTCAAAAATATAAAACTACCAACTTACGTTGCAATAGATAAAATAGTTCTGAAGATATTCTCATTTATGTATTATTTTCATTTTTTTGACATAAATCTGAAACTAATCAGGATACCGGGGTTTTCTTCATAAGTGTTTGTCAAACTTCGAATTACGCAACTTTTGTCCTATTTAACCGAATTCGTATCTCTCGTAGTTTCTGAGATGTCAATGTTGAGCATCGCGAAATTATCACCACCTTGTATACCTACGGGGTGGTCCAGTTTTTTTGTAGCACAAGACATCAAACAAGCACCCAGCGTTAAAATTAGATGTTCCACGAGAGCAATGACTAAAGAATACATGGATGCGTAACGCTCATATACGGGCTGGAGCAGAATTTGTGTTGTTAGACGCCACCATTTTGGAGCCTAGCTTGCCAGCTCGTAAACAGCGACAATTTTAGCGATTGTTGTAACCTTCGTACAGCTTCGTACGGATTTCGTTTTCGCTCGCGTTCGACAATTGGGTAATGCTCAGAGTAAGGGCTAATCGATATATTCGGAATTTTGGAGTTGTGGTTGGTTAGGTACTATTGCGCCAGTGTCTGGCCTAACAGAGGAACTTATGTGAAATATACATGGACCGGTTATCTAGTTGATTCTGACTAGGCTTCAACGCCAACACATTGCAGGGATAAGCGATAATCTATATAGAGTTAATATATATATGCCTGTAAGTAATTTTAGTTATTTGTCATTTTAATCCATAGGTAAATTGGATCTTTTGTCATATTTTGGATGTCGTTTGTCGAAATGTTACCTGATTCGTTCGATAGACTTTATAAAATTATTTAAAGAACTGATTAAAATAAAAGAAATTATTCATTTCGGATATTTCAGTTATAAGTTATAATACAAATTTATATTTTTTCAGTAAATGTTTTTTTAACGGTAATTTCGTGTTAATGATGCTTATTGTAACTTTTTATACAGACTATTATTTAGGGCCATTCTGATAAAAGTGTAGAAGAAAAAATCGTGTTATATGATATTTGTAGTGAGTGTGAGTGATATGAGTGTTGTGACCAAAATCGGGTTATCCTATTTGGTAATATCTTCTTTTTAATAAAAAAAAATACTTCCTATAAACTAATCATAATGGCGAATATGCTTTATTTCAATATTTTTTTTTAAATCGTTATACAACTTTTTCATTGAATAAAAATAGAAAACAAGCTAGCTTCCCCAATACGAACTTAAATTAAGAATAATAAAATACAAAAATCTATATTAGGAATGTATACAGGTGTTTATTGAATTTTTCAGCTATTAAAGTGTTGCTAAAAGAAGTGGACCACTTTGTACAATATATAGGTCTAATAATGTGTGTGGTCTGTAATATCGTAGGCTCAAATTCAGTTTGCTATGAGTAATGGCTACAGGAAAATATATATTTGACTGATATACATGATATGATTTATACGTATAATAACTGAAATATTGGATGAGGTAAACTGTAATTAAATTTTGTTTATGTATATATCCATATGAGATCAGGTACACAAATTTAATAATTTTAAAACAAGGTATTATTAAGTATACGTTTCTAGGGTTTCGATTAGGTTGTAGAAGAGAGAGAAGGTAGAAAAAAAAACATTACAAATTATTTTTGTCTCTTTGACTCATATATTTTACTCAAAAAACGCTCTTAAATTTGACTTAATAATATAGTTAAGAAAAGATTTTACACTCAGATGCCAAAAAAAAACACAACGGAGAAATTTTTGGTCAAATTTAAAGTGTTATATTTTTGTTATTTTTAGCCCTATTTTCATGAATATTTTTAACAAGCTGTATATAATTATATCAACTTTAATTCGTAAACTCAGCTTTTTATAAACTTTAGTATCCGGCATATTATAGAGGGTTAATCGAGGGGTTGTTACCCTAACTTTAAGACACCCTGTGCAATAATTTCGTATGTAAATTTTCCTAAATTATAGTTTTACGGTCAGAACCATTACTCCTGAGCATTTTATTTTTTGATTCACGTCAATACATGCTTTAGTTAATTTTTAAGAGCGAAATGAACTGATAATGATCAATTTGTATTTTTTTTCAGTTATCAATACTTTTTTATGTAATTTTTTAATACGGTGAGATGGTTTTGGTGACTATTGTCGTAACGTCATATTACCCTGCATTTACTCTACACTAAATTTAAAATACGTTAAAGACTAACGAGACAGTCCGAGTTTTAATAAACATTAATAACGATAACAGAACTAACGATATTAAAGAAAACATCTCTAATACC